AGGTCTAGAAGATTATCTTCTCATGTCTTTCCCCAGCCAGGGAAAGTCCTAAAGGCAGAGATTTGTAGCAACAGCTCTGGAAACTGCAGAAATGCTACACTTCTGGTGACCTCCTTGAGAAGAGAGGTATAGTTCCTGAGAACACAAACAATGCAGACTAGACAACTCTGAAACAACTCACTTCTTTGGCACGTGAAGAAAAAGTAACTCACTCCCACATGGGTACATTCTTTGGAACTGAGCCCCAAATGCTTAGTAAGTTTCATAATCAAGGAGGGAAAAGTGAATATTTCTTATTAAAGGAGGTCTTATTTCTCTCCATAATGATGAACTTGGTGGTATTACTTACAATGTTACAAGATTTCATTAAAAAAAAAAAAAAGAATTTGCATTTTGCTTGATTTACCCTGGATGCTACTTAAGAAAACTTTTACTAAATCTTCACTAATTTACTAATTGTGACTCAAATAATTACTATCTTTGGTTTCCCTGGAAGAAAATTAAAGCTAAAAAATTTGTCATCTTTTGTCTTGGGAGATATCTTGTTAGCAGTTTATTTACTAAAACACAAAACAAAATTTCACTACATGACAACTCTACATGGGCCTGGAGAGTCATTTGGAACTTTCCTACAAGGTTAATCTTTACTGCGTGGGAACAGGACACATCCATATTCTTCATGCCTTGTTTTCAAACTACAGCTTCCATGTAGTTCCTGAGCTGAACAGCAGATGGCTCCACCTTCCTGGTCTGTGAAAACACTGGCGCTTTCCAGCTGAAAACAGTGGGAGCTGGTTTGGAAAAGTGAAAGGACAACTGGAGTTCTGGGCGGAAAAAACCTCAGAAATTGGTGTTTGTGATCCTGGCATATTACTGAGCTTTGGATAGTGGCACTGTTCATGCTGTACAGCTGAAAACAAACACTGGCTGAAAAAGTCCGTCGGTCTTACGTTGTAGGACTTAGGTGCCCAAATACAATGAGAATTAATTACTTCTTTTTCCCAGGGGACAAAAGTGATCTTCTGGCTAATCAAAATCATCCTGATCTAATTACGTGCTGTCAAAAGGAACCTTCTGGGATATTGGAAATGGTCCCCTTCTACACTGTCCAGGACAGTCGCCATCAGCTGCCCAGTAGCTATTAAGTGCTTAAAATATGGCAGGCACAACAAAGAAACTCAATTCTTAATTTTGTTTAATTTAATCAAACTTAAGTTTACAGGTCTCCACGTGGCTAGTGGCGACCACACGGACGACACAGATAGAAGGTGTAGAATCATCTGTACGATAGCTCTTAGGCCAAATTACAGAACATCATATCATTTCGAAAAGGGTTTATGTTTCTAAACCCAATTCATTTCAGCAGAAAAATGACCTGATACTTAGTGAGGACATGTAGTAAACAAGCAGAATTTTCTATTTACATTTATTATGGAACATGGTTCCTGGGATAATTTTATTTTTTGGCTGCATGTTCTTGAAAAACTAAGCTTATCCCTCCCTCTCTGTCCTTCCCTTTTCAATAAATAGAACAATCCTGGTGGTCTGCAAAGGGTTTTCCTTCCCTACATGGTTATTTTGTATTTTCCCTGCGTGAAACTGATTTTCGTATCAGGGCTTCCAATAAAACCTGAATCAAATGAATGACTTCTAGATAAAGACATACCTTGAAATGGAATAGTAAATATATAAACCTCAGTAAAAATGATAGGTCAAAGACTGATTAAAAATTTCATAAATGGTGGGACACCCGAGTGGCTCAGTTAGGCATCTGACTCTTGGTTTCCGCTCAGGTCAGGAGATCGAGCCCCACGTCAGACTCCATGCTCAGTGGGGAGTCTGCTTGAGATTCTCTCCCTCTGCCCCTTGTGCTTGGGCTCTTGCTCTCAAACAAATAAATAAAATCTTTTTTAAAATTTCATAAATAGTAGCACTGACTTAAGTCAAAAAAATTTCCAACTCAACCTTCTTGATAGTAATTTTTGGCACAGTTACAGAAGAAAAATAAAAGCAAACAGGAGGTCAAGAAAATATTGAATCTCTACATAGTTTTTATCAATACAGAGAAACTTTACTCTCTTCTCTTCATTTCCCTACACCCAGAAGGTAGCTGCACATACTTCATCCTTCATCTTCCATCCCATTTAGGGCACAAATGCACAAAGTGAGAGTACACCAAAATAAAGCAGTTGTAACAGAACAAAAAGAGATTCATAAATCACCTAGTTCAACACCCCATCGACTTTACAGACATTGCAGATAGAGGGAGAGAACAAATGACTTGTTAGGGCTCCAAACCCATCTCCCTAATCCCAGGGCAGAAATCTGTCCATAGCACGAGGCTATAATATCTGTTATTTTAAGATAATCGGGGTTGGTATAGATCTATTTTTTTAAGTAGGTTTAATGGGAGAACCAAAATAGGACAACTGTAGTTCTAGAAAAGTGAAGGGGGTGGGGAGGTAACACCTAAATTGAACCACTAACAACAAAAATACCATACATCTTAAGCTGTATTTTCAACAGCATAATTTGTCTCTTTCAGGCTTCACGATATGTTATAATGTCTTTTCCACTTATTATTTGTAGCATCAGAATCAAGATTCTCAATCCCTGCTTCGGGAATTCCAAGTTCTTTTCTAGGTAAAGGAGAATACCTTCTTTTCCCCATCTCTTGTCTCACAGGGAGACTTGCTAGAGCCATCCAAACTGCTTCTCCAAAGTTCACTTCTTCCAAGTAGCCTTTGGAGATTGATAATGTTGGTTCCCTCACTTCCTGTGCCGTTATTAGGTATCTTACACCTTGTCTAGATTCTCACCCAGCTTCTCCCCTTCATTTCTTTTTCCTAGATCGGAGTTATTCAGTTGTCATTTTTTTGAAAAGGTCTATTGTACTTTATTAGCTGGTGGTTAATTTTAGATTATCAGAATGTAATGTTACCAATAATACACGAAATGTGTATTATGATAAATAATACATTTTTAGAAACATTAAATAATATGTACCTAAGAATAGATTAGATTAGATGCTAAGCTGGGGTAAAAAAGACAATAATTGTAGATGCTTTCTGGTGATTTTGTATTCCAAAAGACAGTGTTATCTCAGGTATCAGGTGTGGTAGGGTCAGAGAAAATGAGCCATGGGAGAAATAAATTCTAAGAATTTAACATAGCACTCCATTAGAGAGCTGGAAAGTACAAAGCCAGTATGCTTGGGAGCCAGAAATGTTGCCACCTCCAACAAAACAAAGGACTGACCGACATGTAGTGGAATGATGCCAACAAGAAATTTGCTAATCACGAGCTGATCTTTTCATCTTGGCCAGAAAATCTGCTTGAAAGGAATAATAAAGCAATGCTTGCAAACCCTGATTTCTGTCAAAAGTGGACCAACACTGTCCCCCCCCCCAAATTAAAATAAGCACTAATGACAGGCTCTAACAAGATGCCATTCTTTTATTCTGTTAGGAAAATAGCAACCGCCAAAAATTTTTATTTGTATGGCTTTTTGAAAATCAATTCTGTATTTCCCCCAAACCTCATCTGATCAGTCACAGTCCTCCCTAATCTGCAATGAGGCATCACTGTGCTGAACTGTAGCCTCCTTGTGTGTTAGCACAGGTTTTACCACAGCCGTGCAACTATGTTTCAAATTGAGACGCGGCTATCACATGCCAAGCTCCGGCTGCTGTTCTCAGGAGGAAAGAGTCATTATTCACCCCATCTGAGTCTGACTGTACCAGACATTCAAGAGCGCAACACCCTGCTCCCTAGGCTCTTCCGCTTTATGCACCCGGTTCAGAGACCCTCCCTCGGCCTCTGGAGCTCATCCGGGGCTAAATATAGATCCCGGCGCACCAGCGGTTCCGACCGCTGTCACACGGTGCTGCTGACCGCGGGCTCCTTGGAGACACGCTGCACCCAAACACACATACACAAATGTGTGCATGTTCACCTACACACACCGGGTTCATCAGCGAAGTGGGCACCTCCACATCCGGAGGAGAAAGTCGCTGCCTGGAGATCTCCTCGCCTCTTCGCACCACCTGGACCACCCTGTGCGCCGTCAGAGGCCGGACTCCCTCGCTTTAGCCGGAGCTGCGTCGGTTCGATCCCGGTCAGGTGCAAAACAGCAGCGCTCGGGCAGTGCTCACGGGAAGCGGACGTCCACACGCGCGCACAGGCGTGCACACAGCAGCCCCTGCCCCGCGCACAGGCGTGCACACAGCAGCCCCCGCCCCGCGCCCTCCTCCCTCGCTCCCGGCCGGCGCTGCAGTGGCGGCCCTAGACAGCCGGGCCCTCGCGCCGGCAACCGCGGGGCTCCCAGGCCCTCGGGCTCACGTCACCGCAGCCCAGCCAGGTGTCTCCAGAGGCTCACCTGAGCTGGGACAACAGCCAGGACACCGGTGAGCCCCAAATTCGCCAGGCGAACGGGGGGCTGGACACCACCTGGTCGTGACAAGCGCACGACTCCTGCTTCCCGTCCTTTCCCAAGAATCGGGTGTCACAGGGCTCCCCGCCGACCGCGCGCAGCGCCCCCGCCCCCACACGCGGAAACGAGCCGAGCAGGAGGGAACGGCCGGCAGCGCCGCGGACGGGAGACAGGAACGGACGCGCGCGGCCAGAACTCGGGCCGACCCTCGACCTACCACGACCTCCAACCCGCAGCCTGGGGGCGCGATCGCGGCGAGAGAAGCAGAGCCAAGCCCGAGCCCGTCCCTGCCCGCGGCCCGGCCCCGCACCTGTTGGCCCCGGTCGGCTCCCGGGCAGCCTCCGGGGCCCTCGGCGGCCGCGCAGGGGAGCCCCCGCGTCCAGCTCCGGCCAGGCGCTTTGTGCGGGGAGCACCTGCTGGCCGCGACGCTCCCGCCCCTCCAGGCGCCGCCGGCAGCCGGGGCGCGGTCCCCGGAGCGCGGTCCCCCAGCGCAGAGCGCAGCGCCGCCGCACACTCCCGGGCCGGGCTCCGGGCCCCGCGGGGAGATGCCTGGCCGGGAGCAACCCACCTGCGGACGGACCCCGGGTCTTCGGCTTCCCGGCGCTTTGCCGCGCGCCACCAGCGCGACCCGAGAACTGGCGGCCGCAGCGCGCGAAGACGAAGAGAAAAACCCGCCCGACCCGCCGGGCGCCTTGTTTATACTGAAACCTCGGCCTCAGCGGCCTCGCACACCCCCTCGCCCCGAGGCCCCGCCTCCCGCCGCGGCACCGCCCCGCGCCGCCCCGGGCCAATCGCGGCGCGGCTCACCGCCCCTCCCCGCCCCCGCCTCCCGCCTCCGGCCCCGCCCCACCCCGCCCCGGACCAATCGCGGCGCGGCTCACCGCCCACGCCGCCACCGCCTCCGGAGCCCGGGACCCGCCCACGCGCCGCGGGGCGCCTGGGACTCCCGCCCACCGCGGCCGTCGGGTGCCCGCCCCCGCTGCGTAGACCCGCCGGGCCCAGCGCGACGGTGTTTACCCGCGTGGGTTCGGCCGCTCGGGTGGCGCGCGTCCCTTTCTGAGTCCGCCCGCCCGGGGCTGTTTGTGAGGTCATGTGTGTGTGTGTTCCTTTGCCCGCGTGCTCGCTGGAGACACCGGCCCGACTCGTTACACTGTATCCGCTCACGCAGTCGGGAGCCCAGGTCGCCGCCCGTGCACCTGCGCAGGACGCCGGGGCGGCCCGCAGCACGTCTGCCCGACCCGTCTTTCCGCAGGGCCCGAGTGCGAGCCGTCGAGCAAAGCGCGGGGCAGGCTCCCGGCAAAAGCAGGCGGGCCCCGCGGTGCTGAAGCTCACGGCGGCCTCGTGGGGACACAGGGGAAGCAGATGGTCACAAACAAAGTCTAAAACTGCGGCTCTTACAGGTTCCACAAGGGAAGGGAATCTGCTGTGAAATAGGATTCTGGAGGCGAGGGGGAGGCCAGTCCTCGGTGAAGGCTGTGTTGTCATGGTAACCACACACTCTATCATTGGATACTTGATAACTATTTTAGAAAAAGGGTAAAAACCTCAATAGTTCACCTTGTACAAATAAAAGAGACTGAAGGGAAGGAACGATGGAAACAAGGGAAGAAAGGCAAAAATTGAAGCATCCGGAGACTCTGCTGCAGCTACATGACCTTGAGTAAGTAAAGTGTCTTTTCTGAGCTTCGGTTTTCCCACATATAAAAAACAACACGATTCATACCTGCGCTACAGGACTATAACTAGGATTGCTGAGCTAGAGGAACCCTTTTTGTCCCTACTCCATCCTCTTCCTGTACCTCCTCCTTCCTGGCCTGGAAACGGTCATTTTCAAGTTCACCTTGCCTATTCTTGGCTCCCCTCATTTTCTTCATCTGCCCCTCCTTTCACTTCTCTTCCTCTAATTATATTCTCTCCTTTACTCCTGCAAATGGGTCTCCCCGACTCAGTAATTCACTGAGCCTCTCTGCAGTGGAAAGGAGAAGCCATGCGGCCGGCAGGCTTGGTGGGAGTGGGCCACGCAGGGAGGCACAGGGGCTCTGCTTGCCCAGCCTAGTCACTGAGGTTGTACTGGTGGTTTTGTCTTTCAAGCTCAGTTCTCCATCCTAGTTCTGTAACAAACAAGCCACTGAGGTTGTGCAAGCCATGTGCAATACTGAGGTTCCTGGGTCGGTAGCAATTAATTAAAAGGGTGAGAGTAAACCAAGATTTCTTAGTGGAAATATCTGACACATCCTTTAACCTCTGGATACACCCACCCACCACCCTGAAAGATTTTGTCCTGTTTCCCTTTCTTAAGTGTTTCTCACTCAAGCAAAAATGCTTATTTTAGATTCTCAAAGTATAAAATGGACACTGTGATAGTATTGATTTAATGTATTACTAAACCACATTCCCACTCCCCATTCTGATGGATCCCCCATGGCCCCTTCTAGCTCCCTGTGTGAGAGGCAATACATAAGGACGGGGACAGCTTCAGAGCTGGGTAGCCTAAATTCGGATCCTGTCCTATGGCTTTGCCAGTTATCAAACCTTACAAAATCCCATACTGAGGGACCCTGGGCTCCAGTTTGATCATATGAAAACAGCAGTCATAGTTTACAAAAGTAACTTCTTCGCAGCATGTTAAGAAGATTCTTTAAAGGGACACCTGCCTGGCTCAGTCGGTGAAGCGCCTGCCTTCCGCTCAGGTCATGATCCTGGGGTTGGGATCAAGCCCCACATCAGCTCCCTGCTCAGTGGGGAACCTGTTTCTCCCTCTCCCACTGCCTTGTTTGTGCTCTCTCTCCCTGTCTCTCTCTTGCAAGTAAATAAATAAAATCTTAAAAAAAGCCAAAAACAAAAACAGGAAGATTCATGAAAAGAGTTAACACGTGAAGTGGGTTTGGAACAATGTCCCTGAGCGAATCCTTCCCTGACCCGGTCTCCACAGGGTCCCTCCCTCCATTCGTTGTTGTTCCTTCTGTAGGACTTACCACCACTTAATATATTGTATGTTTTACTCACTGCCTTTCTCCCTAGTTAGAATATAAGCTCCAAAACATCAGGTTTGCTGTTGTCATTGTAGTTGTTGATTTCCTGCTGTATTTTGAATGTCTAGAACAGTGTCTAACACAATAAGCACTCAGTAAATATGTATTAGTTGACTTCATTAGTGCCTAGTAAATGGTAACTACTCCATAAACAATAGCTGTGATGATTATGTATCAATCATTCTCTATCATGAAAAGATATATTTTTTTTCCATTTTCTACTTCTCATAGTTTCTTTCTGGTCTTTTGACTCCATTGGCTCAATTCTTATCTGGGTAACGTTGGTGAGCTCAGTAGTACCAGTCACACTGATGCAAATAAAGCCCCGCGGAACAGGATACTCAGATAATAAAATAACCGCTTGTACGGAGCTTTGGGTACATGGCAGGCCCTGTGCTAAACAGTATTTTTCTCCTCTTTTCCTCTTGGACCTCAAGTGCACAAAATTAGAGCAATCAGCATGACTAATCCATGTCTAACACTCTTAAATCGGCGGGGGGCGGGGGAAGACAAACCATGAGGACTGTGGACTCTGAGAAACAAAAGAAGGGTTTTGGAGGGGAGGGGTTGGGGGAGGCTGGTGGTGGGTATTAAGGAGGACTTTGGGTATTAAGGAGGTATTAAGAGACTGTGAACGGAGGGCTTGGGGTGGGGGTTGGAAGATCCTGCTGGTGGGTATTAAGGAGGGCACAGATTGCATGGAGCACTGGGTGTGGTGCATAAACAATGAATCTTGGAACACTGAAAAAAATTTAAAAAATAAAAATAAACTTTATTATTTTAATATATTTAGTTTATATTATTAGTCTCTTTCATTTCCCATGTGAAGTCCTAGTTTCCACCAATCCAAAGGCACGTAACTCTTCCGCCATGTAGGCAGTGTGTGTTTCAGTCCACCTTTCATGCCCAATGATGGTGTCGCTTTATGTGAGTTCCACATGAGTCAACGTACCTAAATGTTACTGTACAATCCGTCTTGTTCTGGTTTTCACTGTGTTCCTTCCAACTTTCAATTTCGCTCATCTCTCTGTGTTGACAGACATTGACGTTGTTTACCCCTTTCACCTTCTGTTGAGCGTTTCACCGTATTTGTGTTGCGTTTTTTACTCACATTATCTTTGATCCTTGGCAAAACTCAGAGAGATATGTACTATTTTCTCCACTTCTGAGATAAAGGAATGATGCCTAGGAAAGTAAGTAACTTGCCATGGCCGTAAAGCTGAAGAGACCGTAAGTTAAACCGGTGTCTCTCTCTGGTGCCAGTGCTCTGGTCTTCCTACTCTATAAAACGGATTTAATTACTGACTGTAAGATTTGTGAAATAATGTCTAAAAAAAATGACATCAATTTGACTCATTTTACATGTCAAAGATATTGCTGTTAAAACTAGTAGATATATGCATTTAAGCTAGAGGAGTTTTCATTGGAAAGCAATGTTTATTATTTGTCTGAGACACAAGTTCAATATTAATCGTGGTTTATGATTTTCTTTTTTTTAAGGATTTATTTATTTGAGAGAGAGAGAGCAGGGGGAGGAGGAGAGGGTGAGAAACTCAAGCAGACTCTGCACTGAACGTGGACCCCAATGGGGGCTCGATCCCAGGACCCTGAGTTCATGACCTGAGCCACAGCAAGAGCTGGAAGCTAGGTTGAATGAGCCTTCCAGGTGCCCTGGTTTATGATTTTCTTAAAACACCTGAACATTAAATGAAAATTTCACAAAATGTAACTACCTTCAAATATGTAAAACTTGTTCCGTGAAAGACGAAAGAGGCTCCAGAGCACAAAATAGGACTAAAGAGAGAAAAGAATAAGGGAACAGATCACAGCTTCAGTGTAAGAACTTTAAAGATATCCAAGGTGGAACAGCAGCCTTTCTCAACATTGAATTCCCTCTCTCTGGGTCTTAGAAGGCCTTGTGAAATGGCCAAGTCACTCTCCAAAACACTTTGACGTTTTCTCTGTCATTTATTTTCTCCGTGTCATTCTGGAATATGGAGAACAGTTTAAGCATAAGGCATTTTAGTCCGAGCTTATACGGGTAAGAAACAAAGGCACCAATCACCCTACTTTTATCAACAATCAATCTAGACCACAACCATGGCCTTCTCACTTTCAAAGCCAAGGAGGACAAACCAACTAAGTATGATGTGCATTGCCTGTCTTGTCTTTGAACCAAAGATTCATGAGAATTTTATAAAGCAAGAACATGAAGAATGATTAAACGTAATTTGGAGAAAATCACTTAACAGTTCCTAAGCAAGGTATGTTAATATGACCTAAGCAAGTTCTGTTCATATGAAGCAGAGCTATTCTACTCCCATACCCACTGCTTTCACACAGGATATGGAAATACTATTGTGGCACAGCTAAGTCAAGACAAATATTTTGGAGCTGTAGGACTCCTTTTTTGGGATCCTCTCTCTTTGGACTCTCTCCTACAGGGCAGCAATGGTTAAGGGGAGATACTGTGCAAGATGTTGGACAGGCCAGTTAGATCATCCCAGCTCCAGACCTTAGAGAAAACCCCTCATCTTCTCCTGGTGGTTCAGTGGGCTTCTCCTGGGCTTTGCTTTCCTCATCACCAGGGCGCCTAGAGTGAAAGGCTTTAGGCTTCTTGGCAGGATTTGGTGCCCTGCCGTCTTCCTGCTTCTATCCTGAATGAAAGAAT